GCCGCCTCCGCCGCCTGCCACCAGGTGAGCGCCGGCGCCGCCCGGCTCTGCCCCGCCGCTTCGGCGCTTATATCCCCTTCCCGGTGGAATCGCCGCCTTTCCCCACTTCGGCTTTACGGTGCCGGGCTACCCGCTCCCACCTGCGGAAGTCTTCGCTTTTTACTGTTTCCATGGGTCGCTCAGCAGGATCCTCTTTTCCTTTTAAATCACCAGAGAGCAGCCCGCCGTGGGTGGTGCTGTCGGCTCCCGCTGCGTTTTCCGGGCCCTCAACTTGGCTCTCTTCTTTCCTAGTGCTCCTATCAGTTTCTGGCCTTCATCCCGGCAAGGAACGAGAGCCTGAGAAAACCGAGCACGGTGACGGTGGCCGTGGACACCCAGCATCCGCTCACCCTGCTGCTCGATGGCTTTTCAGGAGACAGAGAGCTCTGCACGTACGTGGCTCATCCCTGGGTAACGCTAGGATAGCTGCCTGCTATATTTGGTTGGTTTTGGTTTTTGTTTTGTTTTTTTTTCCTCCCGCTATGCACCTAGGAATTACTGCCTGCTCATCACCCCCTTTTTCCTGACTGTTTAGGCCCAGAAGTCAGTCTTCCTCACACTGCTCTAACTACGGCTCATGTTATAATTGTGCCGAAAGGTTCTAGGCGCAAGCAGGAGCCAACACGGTACATGTTGTGCCAGCATGCGCGTCCACCTGTGCCTAGTTTCTCTTGCACAGAAGCTGCAGTTCAAGCAGACAGGTGATATAGGAGGGCTTGCGGGCAAACCGCATGCGTGCTCGGCTTGGGGAGGGTGACCTTGGCAAAGGTGGGACCAGGTAGCTCCTTGCTACGTCACTCCCTTAGGCCGAGTTTTCAGCGTGCTTTTCCTACAAACGTTCAGGCTTCGAGTCCCCAAATGCTGCTGTGGTACCTGCGCGTAGCAGTGATGTGCTCAGCAAGTTTCATTTCCTTTATCCTTTGCAGGATTCATTATCATTTTGGAGAATTTGGCAATTACTCCCTCGAGGTAAAGACCCTAAGTAGAAGCACCCAAACCGTTTCTTGTGACCTAATCATCAACGAAGGCCCTATCAACAGCTACCTCCATATGTAATGCTCTATTTTCCCCTTTCATTCGACAATTTGCGTGTCTCCCGGCAAAACTGGCTTCCTAAAAGCCCCTGCAGCCAGTTGTGCTGTGCTGAAGATGTGTCGTGGGCCTGCTTCTCTTCTCTCGCAGCTTGTTACCTCCTTATGTTTCACACCCTTCATAGCCTGAGGCTCTGACCAGGATCAGGCCTCTCACAGGAGATACTGGAGAGCGCAGCCTCTTTGGAGCAGGGATTAGTCCAGAAACATCAGTGGATATGTGTCTGGAAGGAGACATTTTAGTAGCTAGCTCCTGTTTCCCTGCATGTATATATATGTACACAGGACCCTCCCGCTTCTTCTCTCTTGTCTTGCTTCTCCCACAAAATGGAAACAATTTGTGCAGTGTTTGGATTTTTTTTTTTAGTTTTAAACCTGTTGTCTTGCTTTTTTTGTTTGTCTGTTTTCCAGGGCTGTTTGAAACGATGATCAACATCTTTTCCATTCTTTTTATTAGCTTATTCTCCAATCCTTCCAATTCTCTGACTGTAAAGAAATATCCTCCATGCTTGCTAGCTTGGCGTATTACCTCTCCTCTTTGCACTGAGGCCATTTCTAAATCTCTCGCGTTTCTTCGTCATCGGCTCTTTCTTCACCATTGCCTTGTGGTGCAGTGCAGTTTATTTTGCTTTGCTAATGCTGAGCTCTGCAGTCACTGAGCTGCACTTCAAAACTAGCCTATTTTTGTTTTCTTTTCTTTTCTGTGGGACTCAGGCTGTGGCTATGTATTGTGCGGAGGAGGTGGTGTGACGAATGGTGGGTTGGGTTGGTTGTTGTGTTCATATCTCATGCGGCCAGACCCAGGCTGCTGAACGGCTTTGTTAAATCAGGTACAGAGTTGTCGTCTTCTCTCTATCATGTAGCTATTCTGTTTGCGTTCCTGGTTTACATGGGGATCCTTGCTATCGTGATTGTTGGACGCCTTTTCATGAAGTAAGTGAGCAGTATTGTAACGCCTGAAATGGGTACACGTGAAATGGGGCGGCTGGTTTAAAAGCTCTTCTTGTAGCGTGGTAGTGCTTCGGAGTCCCGCTGGAGCCCTGCTGGCAGGTCCTCTCCCATTACCAGGTTGCTATGCACAAGTTAAGCTGTGGTAGCTGTCCGTGTGAGAATAAAAGCCGAGTGATGAAATTTCTATTGAGGAATATTTTACAGCCGCGTAAGCTTGTGCATAGAGCATTTGCTGCAGAGCAGCTGACATCCACTGTAAGCTCACCACCCTGCCTCACCCTTCCTTGACTTCTTCATGGGCCTAGCCCTGAATCAGCAATAGAAGTCAGTGAGACTTCAAGCATATTTAACGTATGTAGTCTTCCATCCTGTGTGCTGGATGAGATGAGTTGTCCCTGCCTATAAACAAACCAAGAATAAAGCCCCCAAACCTGAGCCTGTAGTGTAGGGCAGTGTAGTAACAGAACTGGACTTAACTGGGGCTGCAGGTACTGCATAGTGTGTGTGACCTGGGAAAACAGAAATAGGGGCTGTCTCAGCTTTTGATTTATACTGCTAAATAGTTGATATTAAGATGAAATTGGTTATGAGGTACTTTTTTTAACTGTTACTAATTTTCAGAATTCATCCAGTCAGGAATTGGGTTTACAAGAAACTGAATCCGAGAGAAACTGATCGTCTGATTAATTCCGTGAGTGGCCACAGTATCCTTAATTTGCAGTCTGTAATGTTTCCACCTCACGGTGAGTCACACCACCGTGGCGTTTTGGAGCTCATTAATTACTGGTCTTGCTCCCCTTGCGTGTGTTCCCCTTGGCAAATCTTCACTGAGGTCAGACAGCCAATTTTTTGTCAATGGAGAGCACTAGACTGGGTTTCCATGCAAGTTTAATGGATTCCCAGCAGAACTCTTGCAAGTCTTGAACATCCAGCTTTCTGCCCTGTTTAGTTCCACTGAAGGAAACATCTCACTGAAAATATTGTCCCGTTCTGACACAAGCAGCGTAAGAGAAGGGAAGTAATGCCAGCTTTCGTGTCTGCTTGCAGCACAATAGGAGTCTTACGGGATCTGCACTTGAGGCAGGATTTCTCTAGCAGCCCTAGAGCTGGCATTTCTGTGTATGTGCCATGTTTTCTACAGGAAGATAGCAAGGTCATCGCCATCTGGGCTTCACGTTTAGGAGGTCAGAACCTGACTGGAATTGAAAGGGCTGCGAGCAGAGCTCCTCAGTGATTTTTGTAGCTGTTTGTAGCTATTTTGCAGCAGTGTCCCCTTCTTTATACTGTCACTGGAGCTGATTGGAGCGATTTAGGGAACTAGACAAGGAAGAAGCCACTCCTGTTTTTAAACGGAGTTTCTTCTTTTTTCCTGCCAGTTTAGCTTTGTAATCAGTCTCTCTGTGCTGTCAGACAAGTGCTGATGGGATGGGATGGGACTGATCCTTTTCATCAGAGTCAGCAGCTGGATTTGCTCAGCTCTGTTGTAAAGCAGCAATCGAAGTAACAGCAAGTCTGTGGCTGATTTAGATTGAGCCCAGCTCTCCTGAGCGTTCAGGAGAGGCTCTTTACACTGGACTGTTGTTTCCACTGTGGTCAAAGGGGGAGTGTGAAACATCTGCATTTTTCTGACATGAAAGTTGATTGCAACGTGGTTGAGCCATGAAGGGGTGAAAAATAGCAAGTGGGGAAGCAAAAGGAAGAGAAGATGGGGAGAACAGACACAAACACAGTAAGTTGTGTTTGAAAGTTTGCAGGAACCTAAGCCTTAGTTTGCTGTCATCTGTTCCCTAGGCAGTTGGTGCAGCTACTCACTTCCCCTTCATGTGTCTGGTTTGTTCCCTAAGGAGCTCGGGTCCCCAAATGGAGTGGACTCCCTTAGCAGCGATCCCTCACAGCATTTGTGGAGTGCCATCTCTCAGCAGCGGCTACGTTCCCTGGACACATTCCGAGGGTGAGCAGAGACTTTCCCCAAGAGCTGCATTTCCAAGGGGAATCAGATTTTCCAAAGGTGGTTTGACAATGTATAGGTTTATGTAGAAGATGAAGAGTTCGGGGTGGGGGGTGTCTGTTTTACTAGGAAGATAATCAGGGTTTTAATTCCTGGATTTTCTGAAACACTTTGAAGTTGAGCTCATCTGAGGAAGCATTAAAGTTGCAGTGGAAGGTGGGAAGGAACAACCTCTTTCTCAGTGTGAACATGCTATGTGAAGGAGCTTACTTTGGTTCACCAGTACCTCTGATCTTTGAAATGCTGCCTCCCGGGAAGCAAAGCTGGAAGCCTTGTACATAATCTTGTTTTAAAAGTAAAATAAACCAGATTTACAGTTAGAAATGTTTTAATAGGGTAAGCATGAACTCTGCGCTCATACATATGTATTTCATTGACATGTGGTACTTTCTGTGTGTGTTTGTTGTCTTTATAGGCTCTCTCTTATAATTATGGTGTTTGTTAACTATGGAGGAGGAAAATACTGGTTCTTCAAACATGAGAGCTGGAATGGTAAAGTACAGCTGAGACAGTTATTCAATAGCAGTATCTAGATATGGTTAGGACTGCAGTTGGTGCAAAGAGCTGTGGCTCAGCTGAAGGCCAGGAAGCTGTTCCATTTTGCATCAGCACGGTGTCTGGACCATCGGCTAGTAGGAGAAGCACTATATAGTGCTTCTTTTCACGCACGCGTGGGATGGTTTCAAATCACAAACTGTGTATAACCTTTTTATTTGTGACACATTGTCATATCTTTAACTTTTCTGTCTTGTATAATGACTGTGACAGGGTCTAGTACCACGGTCAAGCCATGGTGCCCAATGCTGTGCAATCATAATAGCCTCAGTTGGCAAGCCTCTATTAAAGGGGTAGAGCACCATGTTACCCTAGTGGAGAACAGCAAGGATCCCATCCCTGAAATCTGCCCAGACACAGCTATCAGTTTTGACCCTGTGTCTGAAGAATCGAAAAGCCGTGAAGCAAGATAATTAGCTGTTTATAAGTTCTGCTTGTGATGTATTTTAGATTTTGGGCTATCAGAAATCTGCAAGCAGCCTGCAATTCCTCTGGAAACTCAACAATAACATTGCTAACGTTTTAGGGGAGTTATGAGGCAAATAACATGTTCTTTCTTATTTCTTTGTAGGATTAACAGTGGCAGATCTGGTTTTTCCATGGTAAGTCTTCCTGAAGAATAGCTCTTGTGCTGACTGTGAGGGTGACTGAGCGTTGGAAGAGGTTGCCCAGAGAGGCTGTGGAGTCTCCTTCCCTGGAGATATTCAAAACCCACCTGGACGCGATCCTGTGCAATGTGCTCTAGATGACCCTGTTGGAGCGGGGGGGTTGGACTAGATGATCTCCAGAGGTCCCTTCCAACCTCGGCCATTCTGTGATTCTGTGATTCTGTGACTGATGGTTGTACTAAGGGTTGCAAGGTGATCACTGCATGCCCCTCACATCCATGGGGGAAGGGATTTGGAGGAGTGAATTTGTGTTAAACGTTTAATGGGAATTACTCCTTCTAGATGACAGCACGGTCCTTATGAACTAGTAGAAGAGCAGAGTGCTTCCGGCAGCTCCGCATCCTTCCTTCTTCCCCCACACAAAGGACGTGAGAGCCCCAGAACTGTGAGAGAGGGCCACACTTCCAACGGAAGTGCAATATTCCTGTGGAACTCTCTGCCACACTATTTTATTAAAGACAGTTAGCCTGGCAAGTTTCAAAGCTGGACTGGTGATGTGTATGGATAATAACAGTATCTAGAGTTAAAACACCCGAGGGAATTTTGGATAAACTAATCTCTTTGTAACCAGGGAGAACAGTTCTATGGGGAAGCAGGTATCACATCCGCCCCTAACGTGCTTCTCTGAAGTATGCACTCGTTCTGGTTACTTCTGGAGGTGGGAGTTGGACTGAGATGGACTGTGAGCCTAATCTAGTCGAGCCGCTCTTGTATTCCAGATATGGAGGAGGAGCAGGTCAGACCTGAACTTGGATCGCAGCTTTGCAGCTTGTACTCTACTCCTCTGAAGATGAAAACTTAAATCTGAGAACTCTTTATTTTTTTGGTAGCATATATATTACTGCAAAAAGACCAAAATGCAATTACTTTTCTGAACTTTCTCTCTCCAACTGACCAGTGAAGGGTGTGTAAAGGGCCCCGTGATGCATGCTTGGCTGTGAATTCCTAGCAATCAGTGGAAACAAGTTGTCTGATTTCACTCAGCGCACCTCGATTTCTGTTGAGCCAGTTTGGGATATTCTGTTACACCGCATTGCTGTTTGCCGTCTTGCACGTGTGTGATGAGATGTCAGATGAGACATCGGTCAGCTCCATTTCCAAACTGCTCTCTTCTCTAGGTTTGTGTTCATCATGGGGACATCAGTATCATTGTCTCTGAGCTCCATGCTGAGATGGGGAAGTTCCAAGAAGAAGCTGCTCGGGAAGATCCTCTGGAGGAGTTTTCTGCTAATCTTGCTGGGAATCATAGTTGTGAATCCCAATTACTGCCTCGGACCACGTGAGTGGCGCTTGCTCTCTTGCTTGTGTTTCTCTGATTGTTGCTCCTGCCACCTGGGCTGGGTGTATGAGACAAGGTAGTGTCAGCATTGCTCTATGGATCATTTGGAAGGGTACAGTCCGATGGTATCCTGTAGAGTGCTTGTAATGATGAGCTGCTCAGATCTGCGCTGCTGAATTTCCCATAGGTGCGTCAGGTCTGAACGTCAGAGGCAGCTGGTCGGCTAACACAGGCCAGTTTGTTTCTCTATTATGTTTTAATAAACGTTGAACTGAAGCAGTGCTTTTAAAAGGCATCCCATCCATATAAGACTGACCGCACAACTCTTTCTGTATGACCACTGTGCCAGCTACTGTATATCCTCATAGTGGTGGCTTTCCCACAGTTATGATTTACAGAAAGTGGGGTGGCAAAGTGGGGGTGTCTCAGGTACCTGCAGGTATGTTAGGTCTCAGCTCTCGCTGAAGAATTGTAGCTTTCATATTTACAGAGGCACCTATGTTTGCTCCTCTTTCTCATTGTGTGCGTCTTCCATAGTGTCCTGGGATAATCTGCGCATTCCTGGGGTGCTCCAGAGACTGGGATTCGCATACCTCGTAGTTGCTGCTCTCGAACTTCTGTTTACAAGAGCTGGGGCTGAGAGTGTGATGGTGAGTTATGGGGGGAGATGGCAAGTGATACTGGAGTACATAGTCCTAGAGCTTTTGCTGCTGTTTGAGAACAGAGAACGCAAGAGAAACAATGAGAAAACATGTGCCATCTTCCCTGATGTGTCATGCAGTGTGACCTCGTGTCTGGTGATATGCCAATGTAATTTTGTGTCCCGTGGGGCTGTCACACCACTGCGGAGGGCATCCCACATAATTGGCCCATCTGCCAAATCACAGACCAGGCTAGGCTGCAACTGATCTTTGTCAAGGATTATGAAGACCGCAGAGAATGTGCAGCCTTCTGTGTCCCAGTCAGCATGTTATCGCATCTAGCTTCGTATTGAAGATTTCACTGATCCGTTCTGACAGTGCTCAGAAGCAGGCATTCCCAGGCACTTTTGATGCTTTTTTTTTTTTTTTTTCCTCCCACCAAGGGAACCCAGGGAAAGGCCAAGTCCAGGGACAGGACTGTGCCAAGTCCTGTGGCCTCTATTTTGTCCAGTTAACTTTGGCGATGGCTTTTCACAGCAGGGGAAAGTAATACTGCTTTTTGGCTTTTCTGGAGTCTGTTTTCCCAAAAGGCTTTTGTTCTACTCGTGAATCAAAATTCCTTTTGACTTTTTCCAAGCTCAGAAACATTGCGGGCTTTTGTTTTGTTTTTCCCCTAAGTAACTTGAGTGTCTGGAAATTGTTTGTTAAGATGAAAGGTCCAGTGTAAAATCCAATGCCAACAGCTCCCTCCTGTATCTGGGGAACAGCCTGTCAGGAAGTACAGGATGTCCCCCAGGGCATGGCTTTTACTTGCCAGCTAATATGTTTCCTCCTCCCTCTGTCTCATGCAGGAGATGCCATGTCCTGCTCTGCAGGATATTCTCTCCTACTGGCCACAGTGGATTTTCATTTTGACATTAGAAGTGATTTGGCTCTGCCTGACCTTTTTGTTACCAGTGCCAGGTTGCCCCAGGTAAGACATTGCGCTCAGAATGCTTTCTATGGGGCATCAGGTTGTTTTTTCCTACTGCGTAGAAAATATGTTCCAGCATCTGTA